AGGGGGAGGGGTAAAACTAGGAGGGTCCGGGGGGGGCGTGTTTTTTTACCGTACCACTAATTAATGCGTAAAATCGCCACCACATCATAGACGGTATTTGGGGTTCTTGTATATATATAAGATAGCCAAGTTGGTGTACAGTTAGTGTTCGGTGTGGGACAGGTTAACTGTTTGTACTTGTGTATTGTGTGTAGTGCATGCGTGGCACGGTAAAAATACACGCGCCGGTTGTCCTGGTCGAATGGAAATTCTTGACGATCGATTTCCGCGCTGGCAAACTTTTATTGTGGTGGAATTTAATTGGGGCGCAGGTAATTTAAACGGGGCGCAATGATTGAAACAGGGGGGAGTCTTCCCACGCCCCGTTTGCGCAACGTAGGGAGAACCCTGACTATTACGAATCACCACCTTCAGCTGTAAAACTTCCCTGCACATACTTTTTGCATGTTGCTATAAAACTCACAGCAGTTGATTCATCTTTAGTTGAGGATGAGAGCACAGTAAGACCAATACTGCAATAGGTAACAGTCACATCAAAACTGTAGCTTTACAGCCACAATAATATTATAATATCACAAACTATGAAATAAGTTTGAAATTACAACAAACAAACAAAATTAATATAACCTAAAAAATCTACTAGCTTTCTGCAGTACTTACTGATAAAAACCAGATATTTCCACTTATCTCATGTAATTGTTATAATTATAAATTATTTTCTAGTAATATACAATACTGATTTAGTAATGTTAGTGCATAAAAAAGTCAAATATGGTTTAAGAGGTGGAAGTTAAAAAAACATCTAAAACAAAATTATCAAAAATTGCAACCAATTAGCAAATGCTATTATATAGAAATTAGTGTTGTACAAAAACAACCAATGTTATTTTTTTAATTTACATGATCATTAATACGCTTCCCAAAAAGCATAACAAAACATTACTGTATGTTTAAATGTATTTTCACTTAAACTGGTTTTAAATTGCACTATGTGCAAAATTTTGTGGTTCAATATTCACTAGAAATATTTATTTTAATGTTTTAAAAACTGCCAGAGCTTAACACAGAGAAACAATCAAACACATAAGCAATATTAGAAATAGATCTAACAAGATAATTTAAATTAATAGCAGGTTGTATACTATATCCATGTATTTGTTTATTCATTCATTTATTCATTCGTTCATTCATTTATTAGCAGATATGAATCATTTGGCTAGTCTTGGTTGGGACTGCATGTTTGCAGCTACTATTTATATTAAACAGTAGATGGCGCCAGTAGGTTTCCATTCTCATACTCTAACAGAAAGTCCACGACAGATGGCGCTCTCGCTCATAGGCTCAATCTACCAAGTCGCCACAAGCAGATTTCGGTTACAATTTGCAACGCTTTTTTACTACAAGTTTTACAGCAGGGATGTTACTCGTATCCTATGTAATAAGATTTGGACTAATAAAAGTTGCAAAGATATTAAAAATCCGACCGTTATTTCATGAACAAGTGCCGCAGAGCGACAGGGTTCATCTGGTGTCTGGTGTTCTGCTGATAAATTCATTTGTGCATAGCAAGACGTCCTATACATACGTTCATTTCTAACCCCAAAAAACAACACTTCAAACTAGTGTAATAAAATTCCGATAGATGGCGGGCCGCTATCTAAGGCATCGTTGCATCGGTCAGCCAAAGCATGGCAGCTGTCAATGTGACGACAGATTGCAAAAAGCAGGAGCGAATAATTACCATATTATTACTATAGATAACGTGCATTCTATGGTGTCAGGTAATAAGGTACATTAAACCCCTTGCGAGGCACATATGGCTCGTTACAAAATAGCTCAATGGTTGATACAACCAGAGCAGCTCGTGCAAGATTACAATTTACAGCAATACGATAGCAAATATCTGTAAACTCATTTCAGTACAAGGTAGGCCAGTGATTAGTGGACCGAATAAGCTCAAGAACGTACACACTTGCGTCTATATTGGTGCCAAAATTTGATGAGAAAATTAAGTCTGGGAAATCCGCAGCCTCACTCCTGGGTAATTATTTGAGTGCTAGTGACTGTATTCCAACTATTCATACATAATGTACACTACAGAATCTCATATATAAGTCATCTCATTATCTCCTAAGTAAGCGTTGTTCAAGTAAGAGTTATGTGTGGAATTTCACTGTAAAATGGGAGCTTTCCACAACCACAGGTACTCGCCAACGCAGTTGAGAAACAAATCAATGGTTAACCCTCCTCTTGAGGGTCAAAAGGTTGTCCGACACTTACTCTTCGCATGTCAGCGGAAAGTACATTTCATGGTCCTTTCAATAAAGCCATAAAAATGGTAGGCCACCGCTGAAACAAAAAAGTTTTCCAATCGCTCCGTCAGACCATGTCCTCAGAAAATGCCTAAAATCTGCCCTGTGCCCCATTGACCTTTGACCTGTGACCTCCAATTTCGGCACAGTGATGGTTTTCCTACCATGATGCTATACACCGACTATCACGAGCCTAGGTCGAGCCGTTTAGATTTGTTCCGCAATTCTGCATTTCCTCCCTATACCTTAAGTTAAGGATGTAATGTTACCCCTTCTATTACACCTCTTGACCTTTGACCTTTGACCCCCAGCTTCGACATCCCAACTCGTTTTCGGATTACCCCCCCCACGTCCCAACTTTCGAATCCGTACGTCGAGCCATTTAGATTTGTGCCCAACTGTTGACAGACGCACGGACGGACGAACGGACGCACCCACGGACGGACGCACGCTCATGCAATTCTACAAGCTGCATCTGACTACATGTCAGATGAGCTAAAAAATTGATAAAATAGTGATACGAAATAGTACGCGGATTGTGCGCCCATTTACCTCTTTCAAATCATACGCTGTTTACAAATCTCCATTAGCTGGATTTCCCCCCCGAGCTCCGCCCACTTTCAAAATAGTGCTAGCATTGTGGCAGTGGTATCTTGAGTGTGCGAAGGGGGGCACTGCATGCAGTTTGACTCTAACATTCAATCTACATTTCAAGAAATTAAATGCAAATGCTATACGTAATGTTATTGATCGAATAGGTGTGCAATGCAAGACATTTATGCAGCTCCAGCAAACCCTAGGATGCAAATCACCAGGGTATTGATATTCAGAAGACAGTAGCCACATTGTCAGATGCTTTATTAGCAGTATTAAATAATGATTTCCCATATTACATTCAAAGATAATACTACTAGAGTGTTGCAATCATGACATCACTCATTAACCTAATGATTAGCTGCTGTAATAATTACATATGTGTTATAATATAGCACTGTTGTTATGCATTTTCATTATTTTCTGTGAGTGAATAAATTGCATGACTCGTACATCATATATTCATTTGCAAAGAAACCAGGACTATTGAAATCCTACAATCCTTGAAGTGGAGTATTATATGAATTGTCGCCTGATCTTGAAAATTTGATTAATCAAGAATTTCCCAGTGGGCTAACACTACTGGAGTAAACCGTAAATAAATATCTGTAGGCCTATCTTATGTAGATCACAACATTTACGGGGTTAGGTATAGATTAGGTACAACCATAAACCTACAATACAGTAGACCTATAGGCCTACCTCGAGACTACATTACTAACACTAGTGATATTAATTATTATTATGCACGCTAAGCCATTACTCAAATACTGTAAAACGGGTGCAATGTTGCTGAATTCGATCCAGCCGGCAAGAGAGTAGGCCTACACAGTCACAAAGCACATGCAGTGACATTATTATGACTATGAGTCATGAGACAAAGCAAATTATACTATTCCGTCGATATACCTATCGTCCTATGTATGTATAGGTACCGTCGATCGTTAATTTCATTTTAATTGCAGTCGCTAGTGACAAGAATGGTGCAATTAATTACATAGGTTACAGGTTATTACTCAGTCTACTCGAATTCGGGAATATTTACACGCCGGTAATCCGAAAGTAGCGAGCACCAAAAAATTATCGGCCCGTACGGCGTACTGTATTATGCATATAATGAATGTTTACGAATCATGTGAATAACCGCAACAAAGAACTGTGAAAATCTACGCAACTACACATATTATGGGAGGTATACCTTTGCAGTGACTTTCATAGTATTACCACGTTTCAGCTCAGGCATTTCCTCGGACATATTTGATTGATTTCGGAGACAAATACGAATAATTTCGCACAGATACTCAAATCTTGCACCGAATTTGGCGATGCGGTTACACTTGGTCACGTGGTATGGAAACGTCATTTCGTGTGGTGTGTCATGAGAAATATACACGGAGTATTTATCATAGGAAATTTATTATCGGTGGTCAGCGGGTGGTGGCGTGTGTGTTTGTGTGTGTGTAGGGGGGGGGGGGTGCGCCATAGAACTAGAAATAGAAATTCTATTTCTATTCTATTTCTATTTCTATTTCGATTCTTCTATTTCTAGTTCTATGGGGTGCGCGTGTGTGTGCGTGTGGAGTGTGTATGCGTATATAAATATACATATATACATGATATCAGGGTCGTAGCTAACTCATATACATGGAAGTGAAAAGCCACGCGTGGCTTGCGTTGTGGAAAGTCAACCGTGGGCAGCGCAGGCACTTGGAACGTCTCAATAAAAAAAAGTAAATAAACACGAAATGTATTTACTACCAAAGTCTTAATGTTTCTCTACTCTATTTCACCTATATAATCCCCTGTAAATGCCGGTCAAATGCTCATCTGCAACACACAAGTACACCGCACGCTAGCTGCTGCACACTGACACATAATATAACTAGACAGAGGGCACTCACGGAGGTGCATACCTCCGCGAGCGTGTAACATGTATATACATGTGTATAACAGCTGGCTCGCTGCTGGCTGCTGCTGACTGGACGCACTGAGGCGAGCTGCTGCTGACTGGACGCCCTAAGGCGAGCTGCTGCTGACTGGACGCCCTAAGGCGAGCTGCTGCTGACTAGACGAACTAAAGCAAGCTGCTG